TTGAGTGACAAATCCTGTACTAGAGACAGACAGGCAGGATGTTGGACCCTCACTCAGACTTACAGTTTCTGCGAGACCATCACTGTCTCACCCGGGAAGTTCCCTGCAACCAGCCTCCCCATGCAGTGTGAGACTGAAGGTTCGAGGTAACCTGAAGGAGACAGCAGCCCCTGGCCACACCGACTACCTGGAGAGACTGTCCAGAGCCTGTATGAAGCGATCCGTCCCGGAGCCATCCTTCTCAGGGCTCTCCATTAGAGACATGGTGGCAAAGACTACATCACTGGCCAGGAACTTATGCTTAAAACCAAAATGGATGCTGAAAGTCTGTATACGCATGTCCTTCATCCTGTCAAGAGAGGAAGTAATGTGGCTGTCACCCTAAAGCCACGAGCAAGTCCTCTTGGCCAGGACAGGCCAGCAGGTGCCCTAAGGTCCTTCACAGGTCCCCAGCAATATTCTCATTATTGCTCAGAGGAGGACGTGGGTCAGAACACTCAGTCACAGCAGCCTTTGGGCCCATGGTATAGGCAGCTCCTCTCCCTTACCCCAACATGCCAGCTAGTAGCGGAAGGGCAGCCAGACACAGGACCCTCGGTGGTGCCCAAGGAGCTGGTTAGGCAGAGTTCACCTAAACCTGGCCTTGGTGGCCCATTTCCTGTCTACAATGAGAAAGGAGCTCAGTTAATCTCCACAACGTAGTCCAGGATTTAAAGATCCTAAGGCTTATGGATATTTGAAGAAGGTCAATTTCTTTAACCCAAAGAGAAGACAAACATTCAGGAATGACAAATTCGGATCATGCTACCTTATACATATTCTTGGGGCTATTAACTTATTTTTATATTATTTTATATGTATAAGGGCCAGGGAGATGGCTCAGTGGAATAAGCACTTCCCTGGCAAGCACAAGGGCCTGAGTTCAATCCCCGGTTCCGAAAAAAAAAAAAAAAAAATTATATGTATAGTTATAGCAGAAGCCCTAATTTTAAAACAGCTTAATCCAGAAAAAAAAAATGTGTTTACCCAAATTTATTTGCAGATTCTTCAATCATTTCCTGCAAATTCTCCTTCAGAGAAATGTCCATGGACTGAAACTTCTGTTTCACCTGTTTCAGGGGAAGCCTGAAAAGAATAAGTACAAGTCCCAGGAGTGAGATTCACAGAGATAACAAACAGAATAGAAAGAAGCCTATAGGCAGTGTCACCACGTAGGCCACAGAAGGATGGCAAAACTTTCAGAGACAAGTGCGCAGACTAAAACCCACTTATTTATCACAAAACGCCAGTATTGTGATTAAACCTGAATACTGAGTTTTTAGTTTAGGGAAAAAACTTCATACATTAACATCTTTTGTCTTAAGAGAAACACAAATAACACATGTGCCATAGGTTCACTACCCCTGTGGACCTAGCATATTCACTCACATGGCATGCTCAGGTCTGGAGAGGAGGAAGTGATGCAAGAATAGGTAGCAGCCCCATGAGCCCCAACAGAGCAGAGGGGCAGCTCCACAGGAAGCTGGGAAGGTGGAGGGCTGCAGGCCCAGTCAGTCACTCACCCCATATCTGCAAGAAACTCCTGAAGCCGCTTCTGCCCATGCACAGACCAGAGCTTGAACCTAGCCGCAGTATAGCTGGTATTGCACAGACTATCATAGAGAGACCAATGGTGGTAGAGAGCCAGGCAAAGGCTGGGCCTAAGGTCAAGGAACAAATGTGCTATCTGACGTTCACCTGGAGCTGCAGTGACCCACAATTCTCAGCTATCTGCTGAGCCCTTGTCTTGAGGGACTTGCTTATACAGCCAGGTTGAACAGGGAAAACTGCAGCAATTTGACCCAGGTAGAATGTGAGGTCATGAGTGCACACCATTTTCCCCCTTTGATAGAGAAACTGAGGTCCAAGGGGTTTGCAGAGAACAGTCATAGCCACAAAGAAGGTGGAAGGCTAGAAATTCCCAACATAGGTTGCCATATTGTCCTGTCCCCACCCCCTCCACTCCACCTAGCCCAGCCCAGCTACCATCCACCCTTTCTAAGAGCCTTCTGACAAGATACCACAAAACCCTCCTTGCCACTGCTCCTCTAGTATCTTGTGTTCAGTGCTGCCTCCCCCTACCTTGACTATGGTCCACAGTGGCTGCCATCTTTCCTGCCTCAACTCAACGGTTTCCTACCCAACCCAGACACAGCTCTGAGAAAGGCAGGTACACTCCACAGGGGGACCATGGGTATAGGCCTGCACACAAGGACTAAGCAAAATGGTACCTGCTGGGGCCAGGGAGATGGTTCAGTGGAATAAGTGCTTCCCTGGCAAGTGCAAAGGTCTGCGTTCAATCCCCGGTTCCGCCAAAAAAAACAACAGTACCTACTGAGCAAAAATACTGCCTGTATCTGAAGGGCCTGAGACACAAGGATACTCATATTCAAAGGAGATCCGTGTGCAGTCCACAGAAAGGGTATTCTCCTCATCTTCATTCCTGTGGTTGTGCCGGGACACATGGCGCTGCAGGATGCCAACGTCAGTCACATACTTCATTCTGGAAAGAAAGCACTTCAGGCTGGGCAGCACCCTCCTATTCTCAGGGGTTATCCACAATTCAGGATGCTCCTGCAGAAAACTGAGGAAGCCCAGTGTCCCTGGCATAGAAACTAAGTAGCTGGGAAATGTGAGTTGGGCAGGACAAGTTCTGGCCTCATCACCTTCCCTGATGGACAGGCACCGCATCTCCACAGCAGAAAGTGCAGACCCACATAGGATAATACCAAGCACGGCAAGAGTGGGCAGCATTCTAGACCCCTAAGGGCCACCAATGAGGATGGTGACAACAGTTCGTCACCTGAGGCCACAGCCAGGGATGGTACCATATTACAACATGCACTGCTGCTTCTAGATCTTGTTATCCACACATGTGCCCCATACTACCCTTAACAGAGAAGGGCCTGAGGTACAGCAAGGCAGTAGGCTGTGGCAACATGGCAGTCCAGACAGCCCCAAGTCTAAAACCCAGGCACCTCAAGAACCTCAAGCTGCCCAGAAAGATAAAGGCAGGGACAGTGCAGGGGAGGCAGGACATGGGGGAGGAGGGGTCTGTACAAACAAATCCTCTAGGCTTCCCCTTGCCTTTGTCATCAAACCTACACTCCCAGGCAGGACACTTAGGGCCCCCACACTCCTTTCTTCCCTCTCTTTTGCTTCTTCTGTGTTTCCCTCTTAATCTCCACCACGCCTGGGCCACACTCCAACACCTGCCTCTCAGCCCAGCACAATAGGGGAGACTGCTCCCTGCTCCCAGGGACAGCTCCACCTAGTGGACTCCACAGGGTGATGAAGAGGCCAAAGCAGGTCACAGCCATTGGCAAAGGTCTCGGTGCTGGGCTGTTCCTTGATTACAAGAATCCAGCCAAAAATGAGGGCCAGCCCCTGTGTTTTCTCCATAGTGCCTTACAGTGACACTGTTTCCCTTCTCCCCATTGCAAACTCAAGGGCTGTCACTTGGTCTTGTATCGGGCTGACCCCAGACAGCAAAGGTATGTCCTTACTGGGTGATCCTGTCTTGTACCCACTGATCCGTCAGTCCAACGATGGCCCACCTAGAAGTAAAAAAGGCAATGGAGTCAGCTTCAGCCATCCAGGCTTGAAGAGGCCCATGGTATGGAGCTAGGAAACAGGATTGGTAGTGCAGGCTCAACATTCCCAGGAGTACCTTGCCAGTGTGGCTCCTGGCTTACAGCAGTCTCCCTGCCCAGGATCTGTAAGTAATGATCTTTGAACTTATTTTCTACTGTGGTGACATACAACATTTGCATCTTCCATATAAAAAAACAGGGGTTATCCCAGGCCAGGTTTTCCCCAGGATGTCAGAGCATATACAAGTTTGGGCTCCCAGCACAAGAACAATAGTTAGGCAGGCATAAACTGTACATGGGTCAGACAAGAACCAATAAAGGCATCTGCCAGTATTAACAAGTTTCCTGTGTGTATAAGGGGCTCTTGGTCACAAATCAGACATGTAGGCATTAGGCCATCTGTCAGGCAGAAGGGGTCATCCGTGAAAAGTAAACCATAAACACCTAGCTCCCTTCTATTTTTGGGTAGGGCCAGATTGCTAGTGACTCTGGTTTGGGGACCCTAACTTGGCTGGGGGAAATGTCAAAACAACATGGCAGTCAGGTACTATGGCAGGCTACAGGGATCCTCCCTGACCTTACTGCAGGACTGTTGAAATAAGACTCTGACCCCAGGCTCTGGTTTAGTATTTCCACACCACAGAAGAGAACCTCAGGCTGAGGGACTAAGATCTGACTGAGAACAGTTGGTGGTACATGGCAGGGTGGCTCATGTACAGGGATGAGAGCTGAGGACCAGCACAGGCTACAGAGCCAGATCCCTCAAATCAAGGCAGAGAACCTCAGGCCTAGTGTAAACACCCTGTCTATCCTGAGGCACTGAAGTATGAAGAACATTATGCTCAGCATTGTAGGAGGTCACTACCAGGAGCAGCCATAATAAAATGTCATTTTGTAGAGAAGGAAACCAGGACCCTGAGCAGAGGACAAAGATGGTCCAGCCAGGCCAGACCCATGTTCTCATCACTCAGAAAGACTGTGAACTTTGTATCTAGATCAAACTAAGGTGACAACAACCAGTGTAGGCCTACTGGTCTGTGTGCCAAAGGACCCGCCTATAGCCTACCCCAGAGAAATCCGAGGATTATTTTCTTTCTTTTTCTCTGTATCCCCCCATTCCCTTTTTCTCTCCCCCTCTTTCTCTGCAGTATAAAATACTCAGGGTTTTACACATGCTAAGTGCTCTACCACTGGGCTATATCCCTAGACTTCTACAAATAATTTTATATTGACACAGGGTCTCATTAAGTTGCCCAGAATGGGCTTGAATTTGTAATCCTCTTGCCTCAGCCTCCTTACTAGCTGAGATTTCAGGAGTGTGTCACCTCACCCAGCTTACAGGGATGGTTTTTCTTATCAGATTTTATCATATGCCATGGGTTGCGAGGAAGCCCAACAAGGACTGCCTCATTCAAGTCTATGCATCTCTGGTTGCCTTATTTACCAACCAAAAGGCTAAGTGGCAGGGGTTGGAAAGATGAAGGTACACCTGAACCCTGCTCTCTATGCTCCTGAGTTTGTGTGAAGCACCAAGAACCTCACAGGAAGAAGACTAAGGTCAACCACAATACTAGAAAGGGGTTGCATCTGATATTACCAGTGGATAGAAGAGAGACCCATATGGGATGAACTAGGGCTGATAACAGGACTACCAGCACTGACACTGTTTAGGGGGCTACATACCACAACATGTCGTTCAGGTCCTTGGACAGCATCCATGCCAGGTCAAACATCACTATGGCCGACTGCAAGGAAGCACAGAAGCCTGAGGGCAAATGTGGCTTTGCTTGGGGGAGGGGCAAAGAAGCTGGGTCAGATAAATGTCTCCATGATGAGGCCCTGCAGAGTAGTGGATTCTAGCCAGAGGTAAGGAACTAAACCAAGGGAAGACTAAGAAGAATTCAACTGACCTGCATGTTCTCTGCTATCTCAAGTCATTACTACCTATGTCTTTCATCATGTAGGAAGGGAAGACTAGGAAGAAACTGCACCAAGGGGCAGCCCAAGCATGGCACAGGGACGGCTACATAGCTCACAGGTCCTTTGATGACGCCTAAGTCAGGCACTGACACCTGGTGGTCAGGAGACACCATTGTCAGCCTCAAGAAACATTCCCAGGATCAGATAAGACATGGTAACAGTTACCTGGATACTAGAGAATAAGAGGGGCCAGGGATTTAGCTCAGCTGCACCATGACCACCTGGCAAGTATAAGGTCCCAAGTTCAATTCCCAGTACAAAGGAAGGAAGGAAGGAAGGAAGGAAGGAAGGAAGGAAGGAAGGAAGCAAGCAAGCAAGCAAGCAAGCAAGCAAACAAGCGAGCAAGCTCAGGATGGAGCTCCATAGTAGATTTGCCTAGCTGTACAAGGCCCTGGGTTTGATCCCAAGTATTCCCAGGAAGTTTAAGGTCCACCTGGATTATATAGTGTATTGCTGACTTAAAAACAACCCCCACCCCTGGCCTGGCAGATGAGATAGCTCAGCAGACTAAGTGCCTCCTTTGATAAGCATAGAGACCAGTGTTTGCTCACCGGTCCTGTATGTTACTCCAGCCCCAACCCCAGGGCACGCTAAGCCAGTGGCCAAATCTGGGCAAGGTGGTGCACACCTGTAAGCCCAGCACTGGGGAGGCTGAAAACAGGAAAATCACTACAAGTCCAAGCTGCGTAGTGAGACCCTGTACCAAATACATAAAATGGAAAAAAAAATCCCCCCCCCCAAAGTGGGAGGAACCTCAGGACCCTTGCAAAGATGGCCTTCCTAACAAGGATGCATTCAGCAACCTGTGATTAGAGGGATGGGTTTGCCAGATTGTGAGGGGAAACAGGTGTGTGACCAGAAGACTCTAAAGCCCTCTGAGCCATGAGACGCTAAGCTTCCTCCAGGAGATAGTTTCCAAGGGAAGCATCTACAAAGGTATCCGGAGGGAGGGAATCTCACCTGAGCAAATGTCAACACCTTTGCTATGTACTGCTTAGAATTTTGTTTGGAAGGATGAGCCGAGAGGCTCAGTGGAAAGTTCTTCAAAGGACAATGGAAATGTGAGAATAAAGGAGACATGGGAAATACAGCATTCAGAGTTCAAGGTCTATGGGTCATGTTTTAATATACGATGTTTTATTGGACACTTACTTTCTAGGGCTACTTAAGAACAGCAAAAAATAATAGTTGTCCTCTGGGCAAAAACTGAATGCATAGGGCATTCCTAAAAAATTGCCTCTGAAATGACACATTACAGAAGTTCCTCAACTTATGATGGGGTTGTATCATAAGCTGAAAAATAAATGAGTACACCTAATCTATCTAACACCCTACCTTAGCAGCCCAGCACACTGTACAGAATTGGTTATTTCTTATCACAATCTCCTGGCATAGGAGCTTCAGCTTCCTGTCATGGCCCAGCATTGCCAAAGCATGTCACTAGCCCAGGAAAAGATCAAACATCAAAATTTTATTTTATGGAGTAAAGTATTGATCTACTCTAGAATTTTAAAAAAAGTCAGTATGATCATTTAAAAAAAAAAAATTATAGGGGCCGGGGAGATGGCTCAGTAGAATAAGCGCCTGCCTGGCAAGCACAAGGGCCTGAGTTCAGTCCCTGGTTCCAGGA